AAATCACAATACGTGACAATATCGGCAAAAATTAGTACACGCGACGGCCATTTTAAGAAAAAACTCACTTCACGTTGTTGGTGTTAAAATTTGATAAAAGTTGAACCGCAGCACATATTAAAATTTTATTGGTTCGAAATTCGCACAGTTTCAATTTAATATCTTATTGCACATACTTTCATATCTTCCTCAATATTGGTGCTGCAAGTAGGTTCAATTTGCTTAGTCACAAACACTAACAACACTGCACGGGGTGGTCTTAACCTCACTTTGGCTTGCAATTTTGTGCTAATACACACTAAATTCACTCGTACGACCGATATTTCATATCCACAAAACCACTTTTCGCGTGTGACACAGAATTTTCCAATAGATTCAATTATTAGCACTGTTTATAATTGCTTCGATTTAAATATTAATTATATCTTGCTGTGTTGGGTGGCGAGCAAATTACATATATTACCTGTAAGCGTAAGAGATTAATATTCGTACACATACATACACATATACAGGGCAAGTTTATATATCTGAGATAATAAATAAAACGTGTGGTACGGAATTAAAATTCCACTTAAATTCTGTGTAAAGCTTTATTGGATTGTGGTGTGGCTAGGCTTTTGCATAGTATTCGCTAAACAGCTTTCAGAATCCTTTTCCTCAAAGCGTTCTTCTAATTATATCAAGCTATGGATAAGTTTATTCGTCTGGCAGACGCTGTGACAGAATTTGAGGCCGACTACAACGACACGGCCCAAACTGATCACACCAAATACACTCTTGCCATTCAACAAGAGGAGTTGAAAACGTTATGGAAGAAAGCGAAGGCAGCATATGAGGAATTAGTAAACTCTGATACGTTAGATGCTAAAGCAGTATCTGCTGTGAAACCAAAATATAAAAGCTCGTACGCTGTATATTTGCGATGCATGTCGAACATGGCAGATCTGCATGCAAAGCTCGTTAAGAGCGAAAAAGACATAGAAGGTACCTCTGTCCAAGAACACAACATTCACCTTCCTCCGTGCGATACGGAAGTGTTCAAAGGCGACTACCTCTCGTGGCCAACATTCCGAGATATGTTTACGGCCATATATATATTGAATAAGCGCCTCACTCCAGTTGAAAAGTTGTTCCATCTGAACCAAAAAACACTGGGTGAGGCCAAAGATATAGTGAGGAAGTGTCCTCTCACTAACGAAGGATTTGCCACAGCGTGGAAAAACCTAACAGATAGGTACGAGAATAAACGCATTCTCGTAAATTCCCAGTTACAAATTCTTTTTAATTTAAAGGCAATAGAGCACGAGTGCGGCGTCTCGATTAAGAAATTACAGCGAGATATAAATAATTGCATCTCATCACTAAAAAGCCATAAAATTGATATATCGAACTGGGATGCAATATTTACTTATCTCTGCTCAACGAAATTGCCAGAAAGTACCTTGGCATTGTGGGAACAAACAATCGAAGACAAGACGGAGATATCGAAGTGGGAGGATATGGACAAATTTCTGTCCAACAGATTCCAAACACTGGAAACCGTCTCGGGTATAACGGGTACTAAACTTACAAAAATTCCCAAGCCCCATAATAGTAGGCATACTAGTGAAACTCCGCAAAAAAGACTTGGTGCCTTCCAAGCAAGTGTAGCTAAAACGACATGCAAATTCTGTAAAAGCAAGGACCACAAGTTATCAAAGTGCGAAAGATTCATCAATTTAACGACGGCCGATAGAATCGCCTTCATTAAGTCGAACCATGGTTGCTTGAACTGCTTATCCAATGGACATACTGTGTCCAGGTGTACATGCTCATTTAATTGCAGCACTTGTCACCAACGACATCACACGCTCCTTCATATTCAAGCAGTTCAGCCAAAAGCAACTATGCACCAAAGGCAACAAACATATGCATCAAAAGACACAGATAACATAGCGTCCACTTCGGCACAGGCTCAAGCAATGCGCGACGCTGCAAGTGCAAAAAAGAACTCAGTGAACAATGTCACGTCTTGTTTCGCTAATACTAACAAAGGCGTATTGCTGGGAACAGCAAGAGTTCATATTTTTTATAACAATACAAATTTCTCAGCTCGAGCATTAATAGATTCAGGTTCTGAGTGCTCTTTCATAACGGAAAGACTCAAACGTAGAATCAACTTGCCTTCTAAGAGAATGCATGCACAGGTATCTGGTATCAATAACACCATTTCAGCGCAGGTAAAGGAAGCATGCCTCATTCAATTGAGATCTCCAATTGATCCTCTAATAAACATCAACACAACCGTGCTGGTGTTGCCTCAATTAACCGGAAATCTTCCGACATGCCAAATTAATGCGATGACTAGCCAAGCTTTCCCGGATCTGGAATTAGCAGACAAGAGATTTTTTATTAATGAACAAGTTGATCTAGTCTTAGGCGGCGACATTTACGCCCAAATAATGTTGAGCGGAATCCGAAAAAACGTTTTAGGTACGCTTCTGGCGCAGGAGACTGTATTCGGCTGGATACTAACCGGTCAAACTGACACGGTTACGCCAGCCAACAAATGGGTATCATTTTTTAACGAGGTCAGCCTCGATAAGCGTCTCGCGTCTTTCTGGGAAGTGGAAGACATTCCGAAAAACCAATCCTACAATAAAGATGAAGTTTATTGTGAAGAACTTTATAAAAGCACAACAAAGCGAAACGGTGAAGGCAAATACATAGTGTCACTGCCATTTAAGCAGGACTTCCCAAAAGACGTCAAATTAGGACCCTCTCTAAAAATCGCTTGCTCACAGTTCTTTAGGATAGAAAAGCGGTTGGCGAGAGACCCACCTCTGCAAACAGAATATAACCGAGTTTTGTCAGAATACGAGGCATTAGGTCATATGACGCGAATCGACGTGAATGTTCCTGCAGATGCATGTGACAA